GGGGGGGGCTTAAAAGGGCCAATGGTCAAAGGGTTGAAACAGTCAAGAAGGGCTGCATGGAGGAGGCAACGAAGATTCTTAGAAGAGGGTGGGAGCTGGGCTTTGAGTTTGGACAGCTGCAGATGCGTGGAGAAGAAAGCAGGCAGGCAGCACACACATATAGAATAAGCTCCCCGTGAGCCACGGTGTAGATCTGGGCGGGAGTCCCGGGAGGGTCTACCCGTGGGCGAAGGAAGGGGGGAGCTAGAAACGGCCGTGGCCTAGGTCTGGGGACCTCCTGCATAACCAGGACGGGGGGAGCAAAGGGTCTGGAGCGGGTGGTGCAGGTGCGAACCTGAGAGCAACCAGGATGGCAATGGCCACCAGGAGGGCCACGATCGAGATGCTGTGGCCCAGGGTGTAGATGATCTTCACCGTGGAGAAGTAAGATTTCTGGGGAGAGGGGAGACAGAAAGTCTCAGAGACGGTGCCTCTGGGGAAAGGAGGGCTCGGCAATCTAGCAGGTGACAGTCTCAGTTCTCCCCCGAAACTCCCCACCTGGGGCCAGGAGTGCCAAGGGGACCACGGCAAGCTCCCTCCGTGAACTGAAGCGTTTGTTTTTAACCTGTCCTCTGCTTGACCCTCTGCTGCTGACAGAGGGGCGGGGACAGGGGTGCTTCATTCCCCCTGCTCGGGGCTGGATGGGGCGGGAGCAGCAACGCCGCATCCCTGGGGAACCATAGAGGCCCAGGAGGAAATTGGGCTTGTTTATTGACATCCAGCTTGCGTGTCAGCTTGGGAACAAGATGTCCTCAAATAAAGGGGACAGCCAGCGATAACCATAAGGAAAAGCTCCTTCTCTGATCAAGTGTTTGGATCAGTCAAGGTCCAGCTTGGACCCCAGAGACAGAGACAGGGGTTCAAGAGGAGAATGGGAGCAATCACAGGCCCTCTGACTCGGTCTTTTCACCTGAAAAATGGCCAGACTCATGCTTTACCCTGCAGGGCTAGGGGAGAGATATGGGGTTATGGGCGTGGAGGCACCTCGAAAAAGCCCTGCTCAATTCGGAGGTGGGGGGCGTGCCAGCTACAGTAAGGGTGACTGTGGCCACTTCTGGGCAGGAGTTTCCCTTTTGCCCCCAGCACAGCCAAGCTCACTGCTCCACAGCCCGACTAGGCGGGGCAGGAGCTGGCCCAGGATCACCTGGAACCACCCAAGACTCCCTGCCCTGGAGGCCTGGGCACAGAGAGGGCACATCAAGGAGATGGTGACCAGTGCATCTCCTACCCTGCCCTCTCGTCCCCACCCTCCTAGCCATGTGGCCCACCTGCCACACTTGAGCAGATTAGCAAAAGACCCCTCTTCCAGGCACTGGCACCTTCTGGGCATCTGCTGTAACTGCTGTTCCAACCTGCTGGCTGCAATGGACATGCAGCCCCCACACAGACATCCACTGAGGCCTTGCCTTCAAGATGCCTCCTACCTCTTCTGTCAGCAGCTCCAGGGGCACCGGGCAGGCCACAGGATAGGGCGGGAAGGGCTCGGACCAGCCCACGACGGTGCAATCCCGCTTCACTGTGCCTGGGGGGCAAGAGGAGGTGGGAAGCAGCTTCCCCCCCAACCCCGGGAGGGATGGGGGAGCCATGGCCATAGGGGAGCCCTGGCAGGCTGCACACACAGCCCTTGTAGGTGGCAGAGAGAGGGGAGCCTTCTCTCCAAAGGCCTGAGTTCCAGGTTCTGCCTGGGACACATTCTGGGGCCCTCCTGCCGGCCTCAGAGTCCCCCCATCTATTAAACAGAGAGAATCGTTCTCTTGGGAGGCAGAGTCATGAGTTGGGCTCCCAGGGTCCTCAGGGCAGGGGGACTGCTCCTGGAGGGACTGCCCACCCCAGACACCCAGGCCAGGGAGTGGAGGCAGAGCAGTGCCCCCCCCCCCCC